CCCTACCCATAGTTAGCCCTCCAGCAAGTTTCTGAGGCTGTAAAATTGCATTGGAGGAAACTGCCCACCTTTCTCCCTGCCATGGATTTGACCCTGATGGTGGATTCAAACTGCCAGAGAGGTGTGACCTTTGAGTTGCAGCACAGCTTTTTAAGACTACACCACTACTAGTAGTAGACTACACTACTATCAACATAGTGGTAGCAATTTCATTCTCACCTAATGAATCACCTTCTTCCTAGTATGCAGGGGCTAGCTTGTTTATTCCAAGATTCTGGTCACCACTGCCTCTTCCAGTCAGAGGAGTGTCAGAACTTTGCCACTTCTAAGTGTACTGCCAACTTATTTCTAATAAATCTCTGTGCAAGTCCATATATAAAATATCCAAGTGCACTACAACTATAATTTACTTTGCAATGCTAACCAAAGAAGAACATTAGAATTTAATGAATCTTTTCATCATATATGCTAGACATAACAAAGATTTTTCCTCCTAAGCTTTTCCTCCAAAGAAGACTGTGTACCATATATATGTCTTTACAAACTATATTATAAAATGCTCTAAATGTTTCATAATGACAATATGCTGTCTAAGAGAAATTATCCTGAAATTACATCAGTTAATACTAGCTTATGATTTTTGGTCAAGATAACTTCAGAGAGAAATAGAAGTCAAAGAAATGTAATAGACATATAATGATTCCCAGGAGAAGGAACTCATACTTTTAAGGGTTAAGAATTATGAGTAAATATTTTAAGCATCATTTAAAAGAACAATTCAGAGAGCCAATAATGGCAAATATTTAAAGTATAAATTAGGAGACTTCTAAAAAGAATTCTCATGACCACTGAGTCAGAACTGATCTACAGCTAAACCTTTAGTGGTGTTGTTGTCTGTTGTGTACACTGAGTCAGACTCGACCATTAGCTGACCCTCTAAGTGGGTTTTCAGAGGCAGTAAATCACATAGAAGATGGCCCATATTTCTCCACTGTGTCAATCATAACAAAATAGCTAACATTGGGAAGAACATGAATTCTGAAACACTAAATTGTGCTTATGTGAAATCTATACATAGACCAAAGAAGAGTTGTGTGACCAGAACAAGGGAAACTGCTTGGTGAGGTTTTCTGTTTTCTTCATAGTGAGATATAATTCACACTGAAGGCTGCAGTTCAAGATCTTTCAAGTTCTCTTGGTTTTCAGCAAGCAAGGTTCTGTCATCTGCGTAACACAGGTTGTTGATAAGTCTTCCTCCAACTCAGATGCCACTTTCTTCTTCTTAAAGTTTAGAAGCATGAATGATTTGTTCAGCATAAAGATTAAACAGGTATGGAGAAAACATACAGCACCAGCACATGCTTTTTAAAAATTTTAAACCATGCATTGGTTCTCTTGTTTTGTATGGACAACAGCTTCTTAGTTTATGTATAGGTTTTGCATATGCACAGTGTTCTGGAATTCACATTCTTCTCAATGTTAGCTATAATTTGTTATGACTGATACAGTCAAATGTCTTTGCTTAGAGAATAAAACAAAAATAGACATCTTTCTGGAATTCCCTGCTTTTAGTCAAAGTCCATCTAATGCTAGCAGTGATATTCCTTGGTCTATGGCCTCTTTGGAGTCCAGCTTGAATGTTTGGCTATTCTCTGTCGAAGTACTGTTTTTGCTGTTTCTGAATAATCTTCAGCAATATTTTACTTATATACTATATTAATAATATTTCTTATATTCTTAAAAGGGAAGGAATGTTGAAATCAGATAATCAGAAATATCAATCAGATCAAGCCGTAATTCAGTCTGATTCAAAGACCTCCAACTACCCCAAATGTGATAAACATAGCAAATGATTACACTGACCCTAAATCATTACCTCTGCATCAACAAGGTAAGGGGGGATGTTTCACAAACTATTTCATGAGCATCATATCAGGACAGGTACGAAAAAAGGAGAAATAAGTAAAACATATGTAAAGACAGGTGGCCTGGAATGGATGGTCCCCAGGGATTGTTGGGAGATGGACTCAGATGAACACTGCATTAAAACAGATGTAAAGAACTATCTGAAAGTCATATACAATTAGGCATTATATGTATGACAACAGTCTAGAACAAGAGGTGCATTGCAGGGTGGATTGGGGGAGGGGGAGGAGAACAGGGGAAGAGAATGTTTAAAAATGAAAAAAAAAAATTATTTTAAAAATGGCCTTTTAACAACAACAGTAACACAAACCAGAACCAGCAGAGGATACTAACATGTCAGAGAAAAAAGTGAACACAATAAAATCTGTCAGCAACAAGAGTGGGAATTTGAACTGTTTGCATTATTTTTCTTTAAACTGTGTTAAAGTTATAATAAAATTAATATCTTTAAAAATGGTCTTTTATGGGGGGAGCGAGAAAAAGAAAGAGAGAGGATAGCAACTATGAGATGAAAGGTACCACACACACTGCATTTAAAAGTGGGCTTTGTACCATGGTATAAAGGGAAGTGGTAAGATTAATTTTGTCTGTGAGAAAGATTCACTGTTTTTACTACCTACAATACAGTTAAAACTCTTGCCCTCAGCTTTCTCAGTGTGACATTCCTGTTTAATGTCTTGCTATTTCCACCAAATAATTTACAAAGACATTGCCACTCAAACAGATCATATTCTTTTAGATACATACTGAAGTTTCTACCCTTATTTTGAAATTATCCTTTTCAAATTAAATAACTGACAGACATTTGATATAAGGCAGTGTTTTGCTGAAGGGACATTTTAACAGCACCACGCTAAGCAGTGTTAATACTTCCTACTGACTTATGCTGTTCACTAATTTTCCACAACATTAACCACCATTTGACATGCCATCTGCCCCTTGCTCCTCTCTCCAGAATGCAAGCTGTATGAAGGCAGGGATCCCATTCAGTTTGTTTGCTATTAAAATGCCAAAATTTAGAATAGGACCTGTAAGGAGAAAAGACTCAGAATACAATTATTAGAAAGGATTTTAAACACACACACACACACACACACACACACACACACACACACAAGAATAAGTTGAAGTCAATTCAAATAAGTAATAGCACAGAAGTTTGAAAATTAGAAAAAGCAAGAAAAAACAAAAAACTATGAGTGAGTTAGTATTGTTTGGGAAGTACTTGAGTAGTAGAATAATGGAACAAAGGAGTGTGGAGAGAGAATATAATTAAGAGTTTTAGAAAATAAAATCAAATGGTAGATTAAAGTTCTGGAATATTATGGTACAATATGAACTATTACATGGAAAATTCCCAAAGAAAATAGTCCCTGAGTATTTTTAGAAGGTCCTTCAAAAAAAGCTTCTACAACATGCTTTCTGTGATGAAATTGATGATTCTTTAAAATTCACTTGGGAGATCTTTGGACTAAAAGACAAATAAAGATTTCTGATTGAACTTGTGCTTCAGTATTAGAAGTTTTAGTGTATGTACAGGGAACTTTGGTCACATAGTTGGTAAGGAATTGTGCTGCCAACCCCAAAGCATGTGGTTAGAATCCACCAGCTGCTCTGTGGGAGAGAGATGGCAATTTCCTCTCCTGTGATTTAAAGCCTCTGAAAACTTGCTGGAGAGGCAGCTATGAGTCAGTTCTGATTTGACGTCATATTAACAATAACAACAGTGTTATCTGAAGCAAGTATTCAGTGAAATAATGATGAAATGATGACTGTTCTGGGATTCAGAATACTTCCAGGATTTTTCTTCTGGCTCTCACATAAACTAGATGGATGATTGTGTAAAAAAGTTCTCATGTCTGAAACCTAGATTATTGAAGACTCCTAAGGGTAAAGTTGAAATAGAAAGAGGAAAATGAAGAGTAAAACTTGAAAAATCAATGTTTGATCTTCTGAGAGAGTAGTTTTATTCTTTTAACAAATATACTGCATCTCCTTCTGCTAGACCATGCTGCAAATTATAAAAAATTGAGACTTGATCACTGCATTTGAGTTTATAGAGAAAACAAATTGCTAATTGACACATTACAAAATATTCAGTAATTTGTTTAACAGAATGAGACCTTATAAAGTGTAATGGAAATATAGAAAAAAATCTATTTTGTCCAATGATGCTAGCAAAAATTTTAGAGAAGTGGTAACATTTTTAACAAGCTTTCAAATTAAAAAATTATTGGTTTAAGTACAGTATTTTCCAAAAGAAGATACATATAGCATACTAATTGAAAAGGCACATTTTAGATAACACACTAGAGAAATGTTTATTATAAAGTGTACATATGTTGACATATTTCAGGCAAAACCCCTTATAAATCAGTATAAGGCCCATAATTTCACAGTGGGTTTTTAAAAAATATAGTCAAGGAAATAGAAAAATGAAGCAAGGAAGGATTATTTCTGCCTAACTTTATTAATTTTCATTAAAGCAATTTTTATATTACCTACCATTCCCCCCCCCCCAATAATGTCAGCCATGCTGGTGAAGTTTTTGAAGGTTCCTAACAACAATACTACAGGGGAAAGGATTCATTAATAAAATTCTTAATCAAATGGATTCTTATTTCAAATCTTATATTGCTTTAATAAGAGCTGGAGAAGCAAGTCATGCACCCGACTGATGGGCAGAATCCATTTTCAAGTTGGAAGGAGCTCTAATTCACAAATAAGGAGACCAATGCCTAGAAATGGTTAATGACATACTTAATGTCAAACAAATGATGAGTGGCGAAGCCTAGATTCCACCCTGCAATGTTTAATTACATGTCAGTGCCCTTTCCACAGAATCTACTTAAAAGGCAATATAGATGACTGGAAGTTGTGTATCTTCTTACAACAGACTTTGAAATGCTAGAAATCCAAAACTTGATGAATAGCCACTGTTAACTTTATTCAGATATTCAAACATGAACAATATTTAAACAAAACAATTAAAAACAGAAAAAAGGCTAGAATTTTCTGATTCTTTATAGATACTGAACTTAATATTATATTATTAAAGAAAATATTAGAATTACCTCCAAGGACCATGCCAGCCTGGCAGCATTTTCTAAGGCGACATGCTGGGCAGTTTTTTCTGCGAATTTTATCAACAATGCAATCATTTCTTCCGGCACATAAATAGTTATGCTGCCCTATAAATAGAAAACAAAGAAAAGTTACTGACAATCGCAAAAGACCACTAGACATTGCATGCAATGACAATCAAAAGAAATGGGCAGAAATTACTGAAACAATTTATATATTGCCATATCATTTATCTTTACCATTCTATGAGTTATACTTGGGGATTGGCATAAATACCCATTTTGGCTAATTCACATGCCCACAGGTTGTTCACCTAATGACTGACTTCCTCACAACATTACTTCTGCAAGTACATGAATGTCAGGGCTTTCTACAGTCCTTGTCACCATCAGCCTGTTGCTCAGCATAAGTGACTGTTAGTAATGCAATGAACTTCCTTAAGACTTGCCAGTGTTTCTAGGACCTTGAGTCAGAACACTTAAGAATTGATTCTAGCATCCCCTTAATGATCTGCTGTGCATGATTTCCATGTGTCGATATCAGATTTCTCTTAGTTCTTTCTATAACCTCAGCATTAGCTACACACATGTTATATATTAGTTACTGAAGATCATCAAACTCTAGCAAGACATTTACTCCGATATTTAAGACTTTAAAAAATAGATGTCAGAGTGAAAGAGTTCTGCAGAAAGGCTTAATTTTATTGGAAAATCCAGCACCATCTCACTCTGTTTAATGAATGAGAATATCATGTAAAAATATTACCAATTGTACTGACTTTACTGCCTGGATTATTTTGTCCACAAATTAGAAAGTATGAATGGAAATAATAATGAAGGGAGAAAATTTAGAAAAATTGAAGGAGAAGACTATTACAGAAGAATTATGGATAGAGTACATCTGGCAGCAGTTATTAAATAAAAGAGAATGTCTCATTTTTCAAAAGACCTAGCATATGAATTTAATATTA